CCCTCGGGCCCCGGCCCCGTGCGGAGCTGCGGGGGGATCCGCAGGGCCAGAGGGGCCCCGGGGTGCTGGGAGCCTCGCGGGTGGGGGGGCTCTGCGCACGGAGCCCCCCGCCCCACATGGGGGGTCGGGCCGTCGGCTCTGCAGCCCCGCCGTGGGTGTACTGGGCTGGACTGGTCTTTGCTGGGGGTGTCGCAGCCCCCTGGGCCTCTGTTTCCTTCAGGCCGGAGGGGATGGTGGGAGACAGGGCCAGGACAGGGCCAAGCTCACAGCCCGGAGGCAGATCCGTGCTGCGGGGGGGTTGTTTTTGCTGTAGTCTCCAAGGAAATGGCACTTTGGCAACATCTGCTGCCCTCCCCTTCCTCCAGCCTGTGTGCAATCGATGGTGGCAAACGGGGACCGAGGTGGCCCCCCCATGTCACCCCCAGCCCTGGCAGCTCTGCTGAGCTGGCTCCTCATGGGATCTCCCTCCTCTTTCTACTGATGGTTCCAAGCAGGGTCAGCTTGGCAGCTCTGCCCGCCCGCCCATGCCGTGCTGGCCACCCTCCCACATGGGCACTGTCCCCTGCCCTGCAGCTTGGTGTCACTCAGACCACCCTGCTGGCCTTAGAATGAGCGTGGCCAGGTATCCACCGGGGGATGGACAACACAAAGATGGCCATGGCCATGGGCATCACCAGGATGCACATTCCCAGCGTCTGGGAATGCTCCCAGCTTGTCCCCCTCCTGCCTTGGGAGCCGTTGAGCCACCAAAGCCCAGAGGCAGGAGCCTCCACGGGCAGAAGGTGGCTCAGGAATGGAGGTGAATGGATGGATGGACAATTGGGTGGATGGATGGATGGATGGATGGATGGATGGATGGATGGATGGATGGATGGATGGATGGATGGATGAGAGGCATGGGGCAGTGCAGGAGGCATCAAGTCACAGGTTCCTCCGTACCTGGGCTCTTCCCTGGGGACAAACGCTCCATCCCCACAGCAGGGCGGCTGGCAGAGGGGTTCCTGGGTCGCCTCCTGCAGGGAAACGCGTGGGAGCTGCCGAGCACCCCAGATGCAACGCGGAGCGGGCGGCCCCGCTGGGCGCCGGGAACAGGTTCTGCCTCATTGCTGCGCGGGGCGGTCGGCAGCGCGCGGGCCGCCAGCCGGGGCTTGCCCGGAGCCGCCAGCCGGCCCTGGGCTCCCGCTGCGGGAAGGGAGCGGGCGGGAAGGAGCCCTTCCCATCCCACCCTGCTCCCGCTCCATGGCTCTCCCAGGAGCAGAGCCGGGGCTGCCACTTGCAGCAGAGCAGGGACTGCAGGGTGCTCTCAGTGTCACCTTCACCCACACACGAAGCCTGAGCGCCCCAGGCAGCTGCAGGCACCCAAGAGCCCCAGCACGGGGTCTCATACCCCCCATCCTAGACCCACCGCCCCCCTTTCCGAAGCTCTCGTGGCCACAGGCACCGAGAGGAGCGGGGCCACGTGCTGGAAGAGCCCCCGTGCGCAGGCAGCCCCGAGGCGCCCACTCCAAGCATAACTATCTTGCCAGGCCGCCTGGCGAGACACGATCCCCAACACGGTGACCCGAAGCGCCGGGCTGGGCCCAGCTCCCCCGCGGCCCCCTCGCTCCGCGGGAGCTGCCCAGGAAAACCCCGCCGCTCTGCGGAGGCCGGTGCCACCCCGGCAAGCCGCGCGAGGGGCCCGGTGCAGCCCGCGGCTGCCCTGCGCCCCACGGCGAGGCTGGCAGGGCGGGCGGCCCCACACGGCGCCCAGCGCCCCGGCGGGAGCGCAGCGATGCAGCGCTAGTTGGGATGCAGGCTGCGAGCTCGGGAGGCTGCGGCGGCCGCTTGGCCAGATGCCGCCGCCGCTAAATCCCCAAGCCTCGCGCACAGCCTCATTTTAAGGCTGCTCTGCTTCCCGCTCTGTGCAGCCTCTGGGAAGCGGATGCAGCAGCGGAGCGGGCGGCTGCGGCAGGGAAGGAGCTGGAAGGGAGGGCGCCCCGGCCCCTAGGACAACAGGCGGCAGGGGGAAGCGGCAGCTGGCAGCTCCGGGAGAAGCGTCTCGCTGCAGACAGACGCGGCGCTCGCAGACATCCACAGAAAGAAGTTTATTTCCCCAACCCTTAGGATGATGAAACCACAGAAGCAGAGTTTAAATATTTACAAAGCAACGCAGCGCCCTGTGGAGATGAAGGAACAAAAGGCTGGGGGACGGAGGGCCGGGCAAGGCTGCAGCCCGGCCGCGCGCCAGGGAAGCGCAGGGGGCAGAAACCCGGCGCCGGGGGGCAAAACAGGCTAAAACTTGGATGCGGCTGCCCCAAAGGGGCGCTGCGAGGAAGCGGGGGGTGAGATGAAACTGCAAGGAGACATCCCTCATCCACTCACCCTCTTCCACCGCCCACACGGAGGGGAAACTGCCTGTTCCCCCTCTAAAACACACGGAAACTGCCTGTTCCCCCCTAAAAAAACCACTGGCAACCAAGATGCGAGCGGAGACGGGGCAGGTGCTGCCCACCCTCCCTCTGCAGTGCAGCAGGCGGCACAGGGAATGGCGCTCACCCCTTTGCAGAGAGCCCAGGAGCGGGGGCTGGCGGCCAGCAGCTCTGCTCCGGCCGCCCCCGGCGCCTCCTCGTCTCGGCTTTGGCAACGGTTTTGGAGCTTATCGATAAAACGCTGGGAATCGACTCGTGAGATAAGACCTAAGGGTCTCTAGGTTATTGCTACTACGTAAGACAGGTTGGCTTCAGCCCTGGGGCCAGGGACTCCTAGCACTTCCTTGGCAGGTCACTCTGAATAACTACATTAAAAAAAAAAAAAAAAATTAAAAATTGGGGCAAACAACTCATCTCTCCTGTTCAGCTGGCTCGTCCTAGGGCACATTAACTAGCAGGCTTGCTGGGTAGGAACCACAGCAGTGCAGGGTAACTCAGTGAGACATCGTCCTTTCATTGTAAGGTTCTCTTTGATGCAAGATCTTGGCTTTCTAATCAGCCTCGGGCCCAGCTATCAGCATCCTCCAGCCTGCTCTCCACTCAGCCTTGAAATGAGTGCGCACGGGAGGCGCTGACGGCTACTGCAGCTCCAGGAGCAAGGGAAGGGCACCGGGGTCCGCACGCATCCTCCCTTCCACCCAGCAACACCAGCACGGCAGCAGGACGACACAATTAAAAGGCAGGGAGAAGGGGAAGGTTTAAGGGGCTCTTTAAAGCTGATGCAGGAGAAGGGAATGCTGAAAAGGCGAAGCCCGAGATATCCCAGTCCTCCTATAAGCCTAGGAAAAGCTAGGGGGGGAAATGTGGATGGGGAGGTGCACAGGGAGAGGCTTGACGGCCGGCAGGATGGCTGCAAATGTCCCTCCCAAAGCCAGAGGAAGCCCCGAGGACGAGACACATCCAGAGGAGCTTTCTCGACAGTTTTCAGCCCAAGTTGCTCTCGTAGCTGGCAGGAACTGCAGCAAAGGGCCGGCCTTGCAAAGAGGGAGTGGAAAACCTGCCGCTTTGCAGTGCGGGGGAACACGCTCAGCTGCACGCAGCCCTTCGGCCACGATGCTTGCGAGGGAACCGCCACCCTCAGCGGCAGCACCCGCAGCCAGGGCCCCCACAGCCCCCGGCCCCGCACGCGGCCAGGCTGGCGCAGTGGGGAGCTGCCTGTCCCTCCGGCCCCCCGCCTGCCCCTGCGGCTCAGAAAGCCCACGGGCTCCCCGACTGGCACGTCTCGGGTTCAAAGCTGCTGCTACGGGGTGCTCTGGCACCCGTGGGCGAGCACTGGCTCTTGTTCAAAGCAAACCAAGGAGTTTGAACACCTTCCTGCTCAGCGCCCTGTAACCCGCTGCAAGGAAGCGCCCTCGTTGGCACTGCAAAGCCCAGCCCCTGGGACACGATCACCTCCCAGTCCCTTCATCTCTTCATCTCTGACACCCCCAGTAAACTCAGGACTTGGGTTCTGCTCTCCAAGGCCAGGGGGCTTTTAAAACAGGCCTTAACCCGCCCGTTGGCACGTGCCCGCTGCCGCCACCTTGGCAGATTAGCTGTGACACATGAAGCACCAGGGTTCAAAGGAGAGTCAGTGGCTTGTGAGAGGCAGAACGGCAGCTTTAGGCATTCAGAGCACAGAGGAAGCAGGGAAGCTCTGTTTTCTCTGGCACAAGCCGAGAGGGATTTGGCCCGTTTCTGCAGCAGGCTCTTGGAAGCGTGCAGGCTGCCCTGAGCCAGACCCAAGCCAGGCAATCTGCTTTCTTGCTGTTCTGGGCTTGCGAGCAAAACCAGATGAATTTGCCCTACCAGGGACTGCTCCTCTACGTGTCTCCTCAGAGCAGTGCCCAGCCATCAACACCCTTCTGCTACAGGGAGCCTGTCAGCCTGTGCTGTGGCACTGAACACGCTGGAGAAGCCTCCACTTTGAAACGTGTGCGAGCAGGGAGGCACACAGCTGGGAAACAGCTTCTCGCCCTTGGAGACTCACGAAATCCAAGGGAGCATCTGAAAGTCTGCCAAGAGGAAGAAGGGGATCAGAGAGAACCTTACAAGACATACCTGCTTGTGCTCTTGAACCAGGAGGTAGCGTTGGCCTCGCGGCCCAACCTCACAGTGAAAGAAAAGGTGCCCACCCCTCTCCTCCTCTCCCAGCTCTATCTAATAAAATGCAGAGGGAGGGCATGTTCGGGGAGACAGGGAGGCTTCAGGACGCCAACACTGGGAGACATCACTGACAGGATGGAAACAGGAGGAGAAGCCAGTCCCAGGAAACAGAGACGAGAGCAGTTACTACAGAGTGGAGCTGCCGCTTTCCCTAGGGAAGGCCTCACGGAGTCCCGTGCCTTCATCTCGCTGGATCAAGCGGACACAGTTCCCTCCTTGGTGCACCCGTGGAACGGGGGTTCACAGCTGCCATCACCGCAAGTGAAGAGTCAGAACCACCGTCAGGATCACCCCCAAGAAGAGGGTAAAGGGAAGCCAGGTCTTCACAAACCCCCCTATGCTGAAAGATGGAGAAAAGAAAAAGGAGAGAGGGAAGTTAAAACATAAGAAACAAGCAGAAAAGGACAAAAGGGAAAGCTGTGAGGATAACTGGAGAAACTGCAGGGAGATTTAGTGCCGTTCTGACTTTCTTTATCTGTTGCTGGCACTGAATCTAGACTGCTCCTCAGCTCACCTGACGTACTTCCCATAGAGCAGTGAGAAGAAGCAGAGTTTGACCATGTTCCAGGAGGTGCTGTTATCGTATCTCATCAAGTTTAAGGCCAGAGCCACATGAGAATGGCAGTTATCACAGCAAAGGTTGTGCTGGAAGAGAAACAAGAGGCCGGGCCTTGGGAACGCCGTCTCGGAGGCTCCCCACGGGCCGGGCAGGACGCAGAGCCATACCATGCGGTGCTTGTACTCCTCCGAGGCATCGTGCACGGCGGTGTCCCAGGCATTGGGACTGCTGGCGTACACCTTGCCAGGATCCAGCTTCCAGTACCTGCAAGGAGAACAGATCACTTCGGTTCACATTGCTCCTTTATACCTCCTGCTCTTCCCAGCGAGAAGCAGTTTAAAAGAAGAGGACTTGGGAGAACTCTGCCGCGCCAGAGCCCCGGGAACGACGCTCCTGGAGGCAAGAGGCTGGAGAGGGCAGCGGGGACGGATGCTCTGCACCCTCAGGCCTAGAGCACCCCACACGGGGCGAGCACAGGGCTCAGGGGCACAGAGCAAAGTCTTAGCTGCTATTCTCTTCTGACAGGAAACCTGCAGGCCATGCAAAATACACACCCGATCTGACAAACATACCAAACTCGGGAATCTCCCTCCCCTCCCTTCCTAGAAAAACACTAATAAGATGCGAGTGGTGACAGTTCATTACCATAACACAGCACATGACAAATGTTATTTACTTGAAGCGCTTGTTGTCAACATTAAAGTGTTTTAATCTTTTTTTAAAGCTCCATACAGCTATAGCTATTAATACACCTACCTTGCTGTCACCTCTAAAAAGATTTAATATGTTTTTTGGAAAACACAGACACAGTGGCCATCCATTTGAATAAGGGCATCCGACCACCAAAAATGTTGTAGTGCGCCTGGCTCCGTGTATTGAAGGACACTTGCAGGTCAGTTAGTTACTTTATTAAAAAGTTAGAACACCACTTACTTCACGGGCTTCCCAAATGCCATGTTGTCTTCCTGGAAAAGAGGGAGAAAAGTGCCTCAGGCGGGGAATCCCGCACAATATTCATGGCGTGCCTCTCAGTCAGTGGTTGTTTGGTGATAAAACTGTCAGATTTTTGAGACTGCCTCAAGACACCCATATTACCTGAGTGGCTGGATTTGGATTTTGACTGTTTTCAGACTCCTTTTCTAGGCTTGAACATATATATATATATATATATATATATACACACACACATATATATATATATGTATGTGTGTGTGTTTGTGTATATATATATATGTGTGTGTGTGTTTGTGTATATATATATATATGTGTGTGTGTGTGTGTATATATATATACACACACACACTAAGGCATAGTCTAGCTATGCATATGCACCTTGTTCCCCTCCTTCTTTACCATTATCAGATTAACTCAGAGTTATAAATGTCCTGCTCTGTTAAGAATATGAATTAGTCCGACTTTAAACACCCTTTCTTTCAAAATTAAAGTTTATAAGACCACCACATGCCTGCTCCTAAGCTGTATGATAACAATGGGCTCACCGACCAAGTTAGAAGGCGGTGGCCAAGTTCTTGCCATAAGAATTTAGGTGCAAAGTTCTCCAGGTGGAGCACAGGCTGCACAATTCCTTCCCTCCTGCTCACCAAACCAATCCCTCTTTATGGCATCATCCAGCTGCCTGCACTGGACAAAAGGCCGCAGAGAAACGGCGACGCTCCTCAGAAGTGCCCAAAGTCGGTATTTCACAGAATTCCGGGCTGCGAAAACCAGGGATGGCTCCGCAGCCCTCCACGAAGGTGGAACCCGACCGAGAGCAGCCTCCCGCTCAGCAACGCGGAGCCGCCAGGTACTCACCGAGACGAAGTAGGGCCCGGCAAAGTCCCGGATGACTCCCGCCGAGGTGCAGATGCCCATGTGGCCGATGAAGGGGAAGAGCCACCTGCGAGGCCAGGCGGCAGTGAGCCCGCTGCCACCTTGGTGCCGGGCAGGGAACGGCGCGGGACAGACGGGCACAGGCAACGGGTCCGGCACAGGCAGGGAGAGCCGGAAAGGGGCAAGGAGGGACCCAGCAAGGGGCAAGCATGCGGGGACACTCAAACTTAACACTTCTGCTTGGCTGATAGATCTAGGGTCTTATCTAGGGGGTCACCAGGCTCCACAGCTGTACCACAAGCGGCTGCAGGGAGCAAGTGTCTGCACTTCATACATCTCTGTATGTACACCTCCACCTCCCAGGACATATCCGCATGTTTTCCAGTAAAATGGTTAGATTTGGAAGAAACCACCTCGAGATAAAACTAGACTTTGCTCCTCAGCTGGGAAATGAAGCCGTTTTACCCATATTCGCATCCAGATTGCACCTTTTCACCGCAGACTGGATTTTAAACACCCGAGGGAAAACGGCACACCTGGCCCCTACATAAGGATTTCCCAGCCTAAAAGACCCCTCTGCTACGAAGGCCTCCCCCTCTTCCTCCCTGGGTATTTACACCCCAGCAAGCAGTGGAGCTGTGTCCCACTCCCCTCCCATCATCACCAACAAATCAATCCTCAGGCTCCCCCTCTACATCCTCCTGCACTCTCAGATCTGCTCACCCCGCTCCAATTTCTCACACCTTTCCCCACAAGGGACCGTGTGCAGCAGCTAATATTTCAGGTGAGCTCAGGGCCAGGCAAGGCAGAAGCAGCTCCCGCAGCCACAGCCTGGTCAGAGACACCCCAGAGCCGCGAGGGGAAAAGAAACGGCCCCGAAGTGCCAGGGCGCAGGAGCCAGACGTGTTGGGAAGCGCAGCTGGGTTATGAAGAGCCCTGCTCGCAACGCACCCCTACACGAGGTAGATGCATCCTGCAAAGCTCCATTCGCTCCCTGCCTCTGCATCGCTGACCGGCTGCGTTTCATGCTTTGTGCGATGCAAAGCAGCTCGTTTCACCATGCAGAGAGGGGCCTTTACTTTCAGCTAGGCTTTCTGGCTGATAAACTGAGCCCTGCTGCATTTGGAAGCCTGGCTTCTAAATGCAGGCTTCTAAAGCCCCCCTTTCTTTCCCCTCCTCTCTCAACACTGACTAGTTTTCAAGGCTCCAAAACCAAGGACTGTAGGAAATTCAGAAGAAAACGCAGCCACCCCAAAACTTAGCAAGCGATTTCAGCTGGTAACACCCCTGAGCTTGCTGCTGCTCAGCAGCGCCAGCAAGAAGCCATCGCTGTGGGCTGGGGCGCGATCCCGCTGATCCCGACGGCCGGGAATGCGAGGGCAGCACCTGCTGCTGCCTCCCGGGCAGCCTCAGGAGGCAGGAAACCCCAAAGCTTTGGAAAGTCCTCCAGGACGAGGCCAGGCTGGAAATTTTAAGCAAAGAAACGCGGTAGAAGCGCAGGTGTGGCGGCTGCAGGTGACAGCGACACGGGAGCTGCCACTTAAGCTCTTTTTTGGTGCGGAACAGGGCGGCTCCCGCCCCGGCACAGGCCACCACCGCCTGCCGCCTCCCTTCAAGCCCTGCCTCGGCAAACCCGCTATCACCTCGACTCAACCGCGGAGCAAGGCGATACAGCAAGGAGCTCCCCGGTGCTCCGCGCGCCCAGCGCGGTGTGCGGGCTGCCCGCGGCCAGGCGGCCTCCCGGCGGCCCAACGGCGGCCCCCGGGGCGGGAAGGCGGCCGCACTCACGTGAGGACGGGGATGGGCGTCCACACGACGCAGAAGGGGAAGCGGCCGCGCTCGGCGTCCAGGCCGGCCCCGCCGCCGAACTGCTTCATCTTGGCCTCCGCTTCCGCCATGGCCGGGGCCCGCCCGCCCGCCGCGCGCACGCCACTTCCTGGAGACCGCCGCCCGCTTCCGGCCACCGCCGGTAACCAGGAAGCGGAGCGGGCCCCGCCGCGAGGCCTGCGCGCGGCCGCGGGCGGCGCTTCCTGACGGTGCCGGTGCCGGTGCCGGGCCCGGTGCGGAGCCGTCGGGGGGCGGCCCCGGCCCCCTGCAGCCCTCGGCGGCGGGAGAGCCCCGGCCGGTTCACGCGGGCAGCAGCCGCGGAGAAAAAGAGTTGATTTATTGGGAACTTCGGTTGCAGCCGCGCGCGAAAGCTGCAGGAAGGAGGGGCCGGTTGCAGATTCCCCCATCTCCCTCCCTTCCCAAAGGCTCCCGAAGCGGAGGCGGGCAAGGGACCCCTCGCCCCTTCCCGCTCCGCGCAGAGGCCCTTGGCCGTGGCCCCCACGGGGTCTCCAGCCGTGACCCCCCCTCAGGCGGCACCACGCGGCGCCAAGGTGGGTTTTGCTGCCGAAAGGGTTTGGGCTCCTTTCCCTTTTGCCCCTTGGGTTCATCCTCCCTCAGAGCCCAGGGCTCCTCCCAGGCACCAACCCTGCAGGACAGACTTACAGCTCCCGTCCCTGGAACCCCTTTTTGCATTTCAAAATCCACAGCTCCTCTCATCTCTGCGATTCCTTTTTTTCCAGCACCTGACTTTGCTCGGTAGCCAAGGCAGATCCTCCACCTTCATGGCACATCCTGCCCTGGGACTCAGGACACTTTAAACCAGTGAAGGCTCCAGCTTGCCAGCCCAGGAGCCCAGTTTGGGCCAGCCTGGCCGCAGAGAGCGTGGGCCAACAGCCCCCTGCCCCTGCTAACCTGCCTAGGGGCACTCAGGCTTCAACCCAGCTAAATAACGCCCTGAAGTCTCCCCATTCCTCACCTACGCCCTCAAGGGATACTCTAAAATCCACTCCTTGTTTCCTTTTCTAGACCCTGTCCTAAACCAGACCTACGTGGGAGATGCAGCAGGAAAAGAGTCCCTGAACAGCTCAAGTGGAGCCAGAAGGGTGACAGGGTCTTGGCACGTCCTGGCACTAGCAGAGATGATCGAGAGCCGTAGGCTGTGCCCCAGTAACCAGAAGCATTTACAAAATTTGCCTTCGTTTTGGAACTGGACAAGGGAAGTACAGACACGCTGGAGAGCAGAGCCAGGCCCAGGCCTTTAGTTTTTAAGAGATGCTTCCTATTTTGGCACTTTGGATAGAGGATACCCATAAAGGTTGGCTGTTTCCATGAACACTCCGCTCTATGAAGGAAAATAAAAATGCATTGATTTGCTCCAAGTTACCGTCCCTGTCCCCGTGGGGCCGCATGGCCAGCTCAGTGACGCGTTCCGGGTGCAGCTGTAGGATAAGGTCAGGGATTTGCTCTTCCCGTCACCATCTCAAGGGCTGCACAGCAGCACATCCCGAGGGAGCAGTGCCCCACAGGCAGTGCTGCCGTGGGCAGGGGGCACTTCCAACACACCCTTTTATTCCCTTTAAAGCACATGCAGGAGGGCAAACCCCACATTTTTTTCTCCCTCTCCCCTTTTCCTTTTTTGAGGAGAGAAAAAAAAAAAAAAAAAAAAAGGAAAAATAAAGCCACTGCAGCACTCCTACACCACACGGCTCTTTTGTGTGTGTCAGGCGAGCAGAAGGGCTCTCCATCGGCAGCGCCGCGCGGGCAGGGAACGGGTGAGCTGTAGCTGACAGCAGGGTCTTCCTCGTGACAACGGGAAAGCTGCTGCTGTTCCTCTGCTATTGATCTAAGCAGAATACAAAACACCTGAAGTCAGCAGGGAAAAATAGCTGCAGTTGGAAAAGAAAAGGGGGGAGGGCTGCTGGAGGGGGGGGGGCAGGTAAGAAGTTCTCCATGCATAAAATTAAAAGGGAGGCTTTTTATTGCGGCTAGTGTGTGTGCCCAGCCTGCTGGAGCGATGCACGGAGCAGGAATCCTGCCACCGTTTTTGCGGCCGCTCTCTTGTCACAAACAAAAGGGTTTGCTCGGGGGGCTGCCAGCAACTTGCACCCAGCGGCTGCTCTCGTAAGCGAGCAGATCGAGCCCCACGTTGCCCCGGGACGCTGCTCTTGGCCCCTGCAACACGGGGCCTGTCCAAGGAGCCTGCCCGTTCCAGGAAGGATCAACATGGATCGCACATGGACACAGGCTCGCCCAGGCCCCGCCGCCACGGCCAGAGCGGGAGCTGGAAGCGGTTCCGTCCCTCGCAGCCCGGCTCCTCGCTGAGCTTGAAAGGAGCAGGCAGCCGGCCAGCTCGCGCGCGGGAAGCGGCTTTCTTGGGAACCTTCCCTGTTGTGACAGCTCCAACATCACAGGCAGTGCCAGGACCGAACGGCTCCAGGAAGGGCTCCCCTCCCCCTCCTGACATTGACAACCCGGCACCACCGCGCAGGAGCCGCCTGGAAATGTCACCGAGGCACCGGCGCACGGAGGACACCCGGGCGGCCTTGCCGCGGGTGAGGCCGGGCCGCGCCACCGGCGGTCTGCGTCGCCCCTTCCCCGCGCTCGGTGCCGGCTGCGCCGCCACGGCCCCCGCTCGCTCGGCGCGAGCCCCAGGCGTCGCCGCCGTCGATGCCGGAGCTGCCGGCGGCCGCGGGCCACGCCACCCTCCGCTTCAACCTCCAGCTCTTCGCTGCTGCCTTCCCTTATCTCTCCCTCCCCATCCACACGCATTCAACCCACAGGGTGCTTCAAGGGAAACCACTGGTTTCTGGGGGACACTGGGCACGAGCTGGGAGAGCCCCAAAGGCAGGCGGGGGGCGGGAGCTCTCTCGGCTATCAAATCCGGGGAAAAAGGGGCCTTGGCAGCCCCAGAAGGGCTCCCCGTGGGCGGCAGGGCCCGCAGCAGCGCGGCGGGCGAGGGCCGAGCTCCGCACCGCAGCTCGCCGCCATCCCGCTGCCATTTTGCTCCCAGCCAGGAGCCATTTTGAGCCCTTGGCAGCCTCCCCGCCGGCACCGCAGGGAGAAGCGGTCTCGGCAGCCGGGCTCCCGCTGCTGCTCTCGCCATCTGCAAGGGCACATCTCGCCCCTGCCCCTCCGACCCTATTCCCTCGCCTAAGTTGCAAAAATAACCCCCCCACACGCACGTTTTCTGAGCCGCTTCTTATCGTTTCCACCCGCAGTTCAAGCACTCGGCTTCCCCTTCCGCGCTGCCTTTTTTGTCCAGCCATCCAGCCCAACATCTGACCTAATTAGTTAGTTGATCCTCAGTTCCAGCTGTGGATGCACATTGCTTTGTTAGAGCAGAGCTGTCTTTTAGAGCAAGAGTTTAGCTCACACAGGATTTGAAGTGGAGAAGCCTCAAAAGGCCTTCAGCTGAAAAGTGTCTAATGGGAATTTCTGAGAACAGTTCAAATGGATTCTGAAAATAAGCAGGCTCTGACTTCAGGCCTGGTAATTCTGCACCTTGGAGGGTAGGAAAGTATTGGGAGCTTTTCCAGCAGAAAGCGAGCTGGTGATAACCTCTAACAAGGGATCATCTCTGGGTCTAAACGTTCACGTCCACCACACTTCAAACAAGAGAAACATCTCAGAAAATCCTTCAATAGCCTGGTGGCTTCGGGGAGGCGACCTTGGGTCTGTCCCACAGCCCGAGCCACCTGGGTTCTGCTTGGCAGGGCTAGGAACGACTGGAGAAGAACAAAAAGCCAAGGACAAGCTATTCTCCCCACTCAGTTTTCTGCCACGCTGCTCATCTCCATTTCCTCCATCAGTTCATCCTCCATTCCTCCCCGCTCAATATAACACATCTCGGAATAACGAACTTCACGACACCCCTGCTATCCTTCCTTTAAGCACATGCATCAACTCTGCCTTCCCCAGGATGCGCGTGGTGCACAGACACCATCCAGCCCGGCCAGGTCCCCCTCATCCCCCCTTACCAAAACCAAAGCCAGAACAGTCCCACAAACAAAATGACACCACCCAGGAACTAGAACAAAGACTTGTTTAATTGCTTAACCCTTTCTCTTCCAGGGACTAGAGAAACAAGTTTTCTGCTCCTTCTAATGAGGACAGTAAGGCTTGTGTGTTACCTCTACGACTGCAGGGGCAGAGTTGACGAGATGATCATCTTTAGTACTCGAAAAAGCTAGAAGCAATGGTCTTTGCAACACGAAGAGAATCCTAGAGTCTCCGAACAGAGAGCCCATTGCTAAAATACAAAAATAAAGGAGGCATCCCTGCATATCCCAGGCTAGAAAGAGTTAATCAGAAAGAGCAGGAAGAAGCTTTCCTGAAGAGGGGTCAAAGTAAACAGCAGAGGTCAATAAAGCAACATCTTTTTCCCTACTTCCCCAGCACGTTTTTTTTCCTTCACCAATAAATACGAATTCCTCATTAACAAGCAACAAAGCAGGCAGTCTGCCCACAACGAGGGGAAAAGGGGCTAGCGACAGAGAAACGTTTCTCTCCCCTTCTCTCCCATTATTATTTATCATTTTATCCAAAGCAGCCATTAAAAAAAGCAATCCGCTGCAGAGGCAGGGAATCTGGTAGGCTTTCACGCTGCAACTGGCAGGTAAAAGAGCTGCACTGTCTCACGAGGAGGAAAAAAACAACAAAAAAAATAGCTGCCACAGCAAAGGGTGAACGGGGAGGGAGAGGGCTGTTCCTTTCAGAGCTTCCAACCGGAGACTCGCGGTTTAAAAACCAGTCTGTAGGTGTTGTCTAGTAAAAGCTGAAAGAAGTTTGGGAGGGGGAGGGGGGAGAGGTGGCTAGTAGGAAAGCCTTAAGCAAAAATCAAAGGCTAGACCACGTCAAAAAGCCCCCCTAGGTGAGAAGGATTCTCCGTTGCCTCCGGGTTCTGCAGAGCCTCGGGCGCCGGGGCACGTGTGGGGCGGGAGGACACACACAACGCACGGGGGCACCGGAGCAAGCGGCCACATCCACCACACAGGTGTCGGGCGGACCCCAACGCCCTCGGCGGCTACGTGACTGTCCGTCCAGGAGAGCTCTGCTCCGGCAGGAGCGCGTGGAGGGCAAACCTGCTTCAACGGCGGCACGGGAGGCTGCCTCGCAGTCGGCGGGGCACGAGGGTGGCCGCGCTCTCCTCGGCGGCGCGGGGCACGTCCCCCAAGCGCTGGCGCTTGCTCGGGCTCAGCTTCACCTGCACACGGGGCAGCAGGCGGAACGCTTCAGCTCGGGAGCGGAGGGCGGGTCCCGAGCACTCCGCTGCGGTCCTGGGGTGAGATGTCCCTCCGGGCAAGGAATAGCACCCTTGGAGAGAGGCTGCCTGCTACGAGGCTCTGGGACCTCTCTTGTGCAAGGCTCCCCCACCGCAGCGAGCGTTTTGGAGGGGAGAGGAAGCCGCTACCTCGACGAGCCAGCACTGTGCAGTGTCTCTCCTCACCGCCTGGCAGCCAGAGAAGGAAAGGCAGCCTCATCCTTCCACAGCGGGGACAGGAAGACCAGAGATTGCACCACATGGAAGAACAACCCCAATGCAGCACACGCACACACACTCCCACACACACGTCTGACACCCCTGGGACCACGGCTGGCATGTTCAGACCTTCAGCAGTAAGAGATAAGAGACAGTGCAGAGCAGTTAAGATCTCCAGGGGCTCTTTGGTCTTAGTTGATAGTCCTAGAAAAAAAAAAAACCACCTCTTCAGCTCTGGTTGTAGCATAGCTGTGTAAGATCTACTTGATATTTAGTGTTTGGCAACTGCAAGAGGGGAAAAACAGGGCTGCGTGTTACATGGGAGGGGAAGAAATGGAAGGTCAGTGCTGCATTTCTAGGTGCATTTCTGGCTTCGCAGCTAGTATCAGGGAGGGAGGGCACGGGAAGAGGAAGGAGGGTTCCTGAGAGGACCACTAATCCATTAGATGTTACACCAATAATGAGGCGGAGGAGGCCCATCTTGGTCAAGACAGAGCAGCTGGCTGCACTAAGAAGCTGCTGTCTAAAAGCTCCAAACATCAGTTGCAAGAGATACCTGGTGGCGACATTCTCAGCTGCAGCGCAGGTGGCATAAAGAAGGTGGACAGAGCTACACGCATTTTGGGCAATAGAGAGAAGCTCTGGAGAGTGCTGTTACCAGCCCCTTTCCTAGTAGCTTTAGCTATGTTAAGTCTTAGGCCTCTGATCAAACCTCCTCCCACTGTTGTCACCTTTCTCCACAAGTTCGTAATTTACAGGAGAAAAAAAAAAAAAAGTGTCAGAGCTGGGCAAGCATCTCCTGCCCTGCTGAGCTGCACATACTCGGTGCCTCCATTGATTCATCGACTAAGACAGATGCCCAGGGACAAGAACAGGCAATGTCCAGTCCCTAACACAACACAGATACGTCTGGTGAGGACATGGTATAGACGGAAGCCAGAAGGAAGGGGTTATGGGACAACAGGTGTTTCACGGCCAAAAACCCTAAACCAGGGCCCCTACACAGGCTGGCAGCAGAATGGCTAAGCCAAGCTTCCAAGACCAAGATTACTGCAGTAAAATTATTCCATAACCCCTGCCCTAGGTTTGTATTTTATTCAGGAATTTAACATCCTCTCTGCAAATGCACGAATGCAGGCAACATCCCTCTGTACCAGGTCATACAGCAGCTCTGGAAAAAGTCACCAGCTTACACTGCTTACAGACAACTCAAAGATCCCTGCCGGGACTAAATTCCACTAAAGGCAAATGCCGGACTGCACTGCCATGCTGCTCAGTAGTGTGACGGGAGGAGGAGGTGGTGGAGGCGGTGGTGGTTTACAGAGACGGCCGCTCCTGCCCCTGCCAGCTTGTCCTACTCTGTGCATAGTGCGAAACAGTGCAGTCATTCATCAGAGAAACTTCAGGACCAAGGAAACTAGGTTCCCTTTCAACCAAACAATTAGAGGAAGGAGAGGCGGTTCTGTTTTAGCTGGGTCGGCACTGGACTTGCCCCTCTGAGCTGTCTTCGTCGTCTGAGCCTCCAGCCCCGCCACTCGTCAGTCCTGTAATCCGGTACCCCATGTTCAGCAACATCACCTCCAGCGGGTCGGCATTCATTCGTCTCTGGTTGGCTTGGGAAGCACCTTCCATGTCTACCACCACACGGCCATTGAGTGTTTCACTCTGCAAGACAAGAGAGGGGAGAGCTCAGCAAGGCAGCACGAGCACCAAAAAGGTTATTCCAGCTGCTGCAGCTCTCAAGGGCTCAGAAAGGCAGGTCTGGGTTACATCTTAAGATGCAGCCTTTTGCCGTGGCTCTTACCTCTGGCCGGGGATTCCACAGCCGTACAACTGGGTCAATGCCGCTGGTGGCCAGGAAGCAGTAACTGGGATGAGGCTGGAGACAATTCACAATGGACTCATCTCCCTGCAGCACTCGAACAAGATTCGTGGTTTCTTTCTCCCAGATGAAGAAGGAGCCGTCGTCCGACCCACTGACTATGTACTGTGCATTGCTAGGGGGAGAGGAGCAGAGCCTGGAGAACACAGCTCGGAGCCAAAGCTGGTCTCGAGCAGGCGTGACAATCTCAGCTGGCTTCTCTAGGGTGTGCGTTGCCACCCCTCACACACATGCTTATGAACTGAAAGCTTTCCATGTGGCTTCCCTCAAGCCCCAGAATCCGTATTTTTCAATCTCAAGTGTTTTTTTTCCCCCTGCAAACCTAGGCTAACCATTGGCTCTGCAGATTGGCTACTGAACCTGCTCTCCATGCAGCCATCTAAAAAGATTTCCTGTCATCTTATTTAAACCCGCAAACTAGTACCAACTGTATCAACATACCTGCCAAAGAAATTGGCCTCTTTGATGTCTGTAGTAGTGTTACAGTGGCCACAGTATCGGAACTTGTAGTCGTAGCTGCGCTCCCTCAGCACCATCTCATCCTCCGAGATCGAAGCCTTACGACCTGTGGCTCGGAGCCGGATGGGGCCACCCGCCTTCTTGTCTTCAGCTGGAAGGACAACAGATTTCCTTCATCACCATTTGGGCAGGAACACACTCCAAGCAAACAGAAAGCACTCTAGGAGGCCCCTCCCAGCTTTAGAGAGGAGCTAAGGACAGTTTCAGCAGGGATCAGGGCTCAGACAACAAGCTTCCCTCCAGATTATCTCTTGGATACAGGGGGTTTCTTTATACACTCACTCAACAGTGAACCAGGAGCAAACCCGAGTCAATAAAAGGCTCAAGCCAGTGTCTGCGCACAGTAACCGCGGGTCTCTCTCAGAAGTTTGAGCTTTACTTCACAGGATTGGGTTAAGGAGAAAAGAAAACGAGGTTTTAGTGAAATTTATATAGGGAAGGACCTGCCTGAACACTGAGACTCACCATTATCGCTCTTGGAGAAGAGGGCTGCGTTGATGTCTCTGTCCAGTGCATCGCAGGCACTGCTATGTGCTTGTTCTGGGAACTTGCCCTTGAAGTCATCCAGACACTCCAGTGCTTCCGCCACGTACTTGAGTTCAAAAAGACAGCGGGCAAGGCGGAAGTGTGCCTTCAGGTGGCACGGATTCAGGGATATGGCCTTCAAGCAGTCTCGGAGCGCATCATAATGGTCCCCATCCCTGGAAAAAAATAAAGGGAGAGGTGAAAGAGAGTGTGCAGGTAGGAACAAGATGTGTCTGCCGCCATTCCCCCGCCTCATCTCACCCCAAGGTCTGCTCTTTGCAGCTCTCTCCAGTCAAGCAGACAACCCGCAAGTTGACGCATTAACAGCATTTGCTGTGTCCTGGGGCACCACCCGGGCAAGGGCAGCTTGTTGAATACACCTCCACAAAGAGCCCCTTCCCTGCGCACCGGCAGCCCCGAACGCGAGCGCACAGCACAGCCCGGCAAGTCTTGACCTGCCATTTTAAATCCTCCAGAGCAGAGCTCACTGACATAATGCGTTTAGGGAAGTCCTTTGAAGATGGAGGATGCACAAGGCCTCTGGCCAAGCAGACACAAGGCCTCTCCTGCAAAGCGAGCGGGGCCTCCTCGAGCACGGCAGCTCGCGCGTGCCCCTTTGTGGACGCACAGCGCGGTAGCACCTTTCCCTGCCCCTAACCACGTAGTCCTTCAAGAAGCAGCTACAGGAGCACCATGCTTCACAGACCGTGGGCACAGATCTAAAGCAGCAGCCTTTTCCCACCTCTCTAGGAAAAAAAATATATATAAAGGCTTAAAAATTAAGTGTTACATCAGCTTTGTACCATAGCTGATATTTATAACCCATTTCGAGTCACTGGAGATGATGCTTGATTCCCCTCTGCTCCGTGGCTGCAGGAATAACAGCGCCTCAGCTTGAGCTCTGGAAGCAGGAAAGATTTGACAGGGTTTGCAGGCTGGGATTTGGCGCAGCACAGTCTGCCTCAAGTGTGCCAAGTCTGCAGATGATGGCAATAAATAAATCACGGCGAGGGTTCACACCTGTAACCCAAACGCTCTGGCTTTGCCGTCATCCGCAATGGCCCCAAGGTGGGCGAATTGTCCCGCACTTCCCACCGGGTGGGAGATTCTGCTCCTGCAGAGCCTTTGTCAGGAGACAGGTACCCCTGTATCTCTACTAATTAAAGGGAGGCTCAAAGCTACAGGCTACATGCTGAGCAGTGCTACAGGCAGCCGCTGCAAACCATCCATCCCGCTGCTCTTTTGCTCCTCTGGGTGGATACTGGCCACAAATTACAGCTCAGTAGCACAGTACAGAAGGTGGCTTCTCCATGACGTCAGCGGCAATGCAGAAGAAACCCAGCTCGATGGCCGTGTCCCTCCCCAGCTCTGCGTCACGAGGGAGCCAGGAGGCTGATGCACAGCAGCAGGCGACTTGAATAGGCAGCGCAAGGTGCCTGTTACGGTGACAAAGGGGGTATCTCGTATCCCTTAGAGCTGGCTGGCTCATGAGCCACTTTGCCACGCAGAGACAATCCTTCAATCCCAACTAGTCGGGCAGCCCTGCAGCCAGGGGTGGAAACTCACACAGGGAGATGTGGGGCAGCTGCTGCCTTCTCCCACAGCGCAGCTTTGCCCCGGGCACAAAGGCTCTGACCAGTCGTCAGCCGAAGCGATGTCAATACAGAGCACGGAAAGCGGGTGGACAGTGATGCAGGTGGCTCTTACGACCAGATTCTAAGAGGACAGAGCAGGGCAGCAAACTGAGGGGAGCAAGGAAGGGGACATTATGGAATTACAGACCTTCCTCTTTCTAGCTCGGGCTGCTGTTCAGAGATGAGGCCAAAGGGACCTGCAGAGTTCTACAGGGTGGCCTTGCTGATACCTTGAGGTGAAGGGCACCTTAGAGACACAGTGTGGTTTAACATGGGTCACAGTCCAGCTGCTTTCAATGCTGTGACATCCCAGGCCTCACCTGCCAAATATCAGTAGCTGTTTCTTGCAGAAAAATGCCCCATCTTTTCTATTCCTGAAACGATCCTAGCTTAGTACCGAGTACTGATTCTAATCATCACAAGCCACAGAAATCCATCATGAATACATTTTCACATCCGCCAGCTACAGAAAACTGTAGCAAGCACTAGTTGACACTCAGAAAGGAGCAGTTTACTTTCAGATCTGCCAACATCCTTTGGGAAAAATGACTCCTGTAAGAAAAAAGTCCCTCATAAGATCAGCACGCAGCTTCTATCTTCCATTCCTTAATCCCACCCTATTGTTCTTTCCCCTCTGAACACTGAGGTCTTTTTGAGGCAGCTCCCAAATCCCTGCTATTGCAAAACAGCCAGTAGGCCAGTTACCAACAGCCACAGCAACTGCTGGCTGCTCTTTGTCTTGGCAAGAAGATGGGAGAATTCATACTGGGGACTGCAGCAGGGACACAAGCAGGATATCCTCACAAAGCAAACGTAGATGAAGGACCACAGCTATTTTAAATATCTTAATGGTAAGTCATGTTACTCAGTCTTACTCTGCTCAAGGGGACAGATACTAAAATAGCTCGGCTGTATCTTGCAGAGGCAGCTGTGACTACTGGTCAGAGAAGACATTAGCTACCGCAGTGACAAACAGCGTATTTCACAACCACCACGACAGAAGCCCCTCCAGACTCTGAGGCACAAGTTGCCACCTCACCAGACCCATCAGGAAGGTTTGTTTCCAGTTGATCAGACTATGGGTAAGCTGCAATAACACAGGAACCACTATGTCACATCTGTCTTTAGCTCAAACACTAGTCACTAGGTTCAAGCAGCAACCAAAGCAGATCCAAGCAGTCCTACAATAACCTTAGATCATGAGATATGAATTAGGGAGCACAGTAACAACGAGCTCATCCTTTAACAGCAGATTTGGGGACACACTCTCATGCAGGCCAGAAGTAAGCAGAAAAAAAGAGGCACCCCGCAGACACTCCATGTTATCGCTCAGAGGAGGATTTGTGGTTTCTTTTTGAACTGCAAAGGACCAGGGCATTATTCGGCACACCAGTGGGCAAAGTGAGGAGCTACAACCAGCTGTGCTTGTCTATGTGGCATCGGTGGCCACGGTTCTCCACCCCACACTGCTGTGCAACCCACTTATTCTGTGCTCGGGGTGACCCACTTACAGCTTCACACCAAACGCCAACCCTGCTTGGCACGCAGTGGAGCCAGGTGCCTCGCAGGGGACAAGAGCCACCTGGGGTACCCAGGAGGCAGAGAGCAGCAGGGACACGAAGCTCTCTGGCACTGCATCCCCCCCCTGCTCTGCTGCTTTACCATTTGCGCTTCATGTAGGCAGCAGCTCTGTTTCCATACAGCATGGCGTTGTTGGGGGCTTTCTGGATTGCTCTGCTGTACAGCTGGATGGCTTGAGTCCACTGCTGACAGGCAAAGGCCTCGTTGGCTTGCTGCTTGATTCTCTCCAGGTAGGGAGGCAGCTCAACCTGGGGACTGAAGGGGCACAAGGAAAGGAGCAGTCAAGTCTCATGCGTTCACATTCCAGTTCAGCTAAATATCCAAAGGGTTTGGCCCTAACATGGCAGATTCCACGGCCAATACCAGAAGTTTCTGAAAGGGCAGAAGAGACTTTCCTGCTAAAAAACAGGTTATTCAGTTACTCAGGTAAAGGTTTCCTTAGGACCATTTTTTTTTTTTTTTAACTCAAATTGAACAGTGAGTAGCCTAAGTACCTAATCCTTCAAACTTCACCAGCACACTTTGCTTTGACAGCATAAACAACATTTCCAATCCTGTTTCAGCAATGCGTAACTGAAAGCAAATTCGGAAGGAAATGAAGCATCTGAGCTCCCAGGGCTGCGCAGGGCTCAGGCGAAGGCAGCCGAAATTCCACTCGCAGCTCTGCTGCCTTGATGGAGGGGCCACCTAGAGGAAACAAGCTGAAAATATTCAGCAAAGCCACTTTGGTGGAACCTAGACTACCCATATATGGCATTAAGTAACTGTGTCTTGACTGTTAACCATGTCTCATCAGCTGGAGGAAAACCAGCCAGCAAGATGTGCTGCAAAGTCTGCTTCTGCTTCGCCCCCAGCTGCATTTAGCTCATAAAGAATAAAAGCAGCAGAGCGCAGAGGCAGCGGAAGAGGCCTCTCCACCCATTCCCTGCTCAAACGCAGACTGTGAGAGCAATTACTCCAGTGTCATTAGCACAAAGCAATTTTGGTGGCTCCAGTTCAGTTTGCAGCAGGCAGGAGCCCAACAAACAGCAAGAGAAAGACGAGCTCTTGGTATGTGACAGCCTCCACACAGCCCCTGCAGGTCAGGAAGTTAAGAACCGCTTAGGGCAACTAAAAAAGACCTTGTTTCCAGGTCTGAAAAGTCACTTTATGGTGAATTACTGCTGACACAATCGAAAAAAGGGACAAATCTTAATGGACAGCATTTTAGCCAGGACGCCGTTGCCTGATCTGACTCTTGATCATAGCTCACTCACCAGCACTTACCTCACTAAGTCAGCCCCTAGGACAAAGACCCCTTGATAACCAAGTCAACACAGCAAGCAGCCTTGCATTTCACACCCTGTTTGGCAGCAGCTAACCTCAGCAAGAGGAAGAGACTGCGAGCGAAGCCACAGGACTTTCGGTTGGGCAGATTTATCCTCTTACCTCCCATGTCCTCTTCCTTCAGACAAGCGGAAGCCGTTGCTGTGCAGGTGGATGCCATTTGACACTCCATTCGTTGCGGTTTTTCCGTTCTGCACTTCTGCAGGTTAGGAAGGAGGAAAAGGACCAAAACAAGGATCAGACCATGCGGTCGATCAATGTAAGTTAAACAAACAAACCTCTGAAGTTTTGGAGTTTTACTCTGGAAACAATAAAACAGACACAAAGAACTATACACATACACACACAGATGGCAGTTTGAATGAAAATGCCTCCAGACTGAACCTAGGCCTGAATCAGCTGCGTACCTGGCTGATTGACTTTGGCCATTTAAAACTGCAGCTTTTAAAACTCGCATTTAAAACTGCAGTTTTGGAAATTAAGATGCTTTTATATATCTTTGCATTTTTTTCCAAATGCATCAAAACAAAGCATCATGGAGATAAACTGTTGAACATTTCAATCTAGGAATTCAATGTAGGAATTCTAGAATTTTTATTTTTTGTAACTACAGCTTAAAGGGCAGTTCTAAGCTAATCTGCTGAAGGTCATATCATATAGCTGCATCCGCTGCCGTTTCTATAGAAAGCATTTGGCTTCAGGTTTTACAAACTGCCCTGCATTTACACTGCAGCTAGGAGTGTTCCTGGAGGCGTTTTGGAGCTGGGAAATTGGGGACAAGGTCCAACCAGGCTTCAGAACTGTGCGGAAGATTAAGCGTGCAGTGACACGCATACACGTGAAGCACATCCTTCATTCAGAGGCCACCTTTTCCACAGCTTTTGCCCACACTTTCTGTTCCTGGCAGCACGGAGCATTTGCTGCAACTGTACTGTGTGAGCCTGCTCAAACTCCACCCTGGTTCCAAAGCGTGACCTCACCACACACCTCGGTGAGGATCACCCCGTGCATTCAAGACAGAAGAGAAAGACAAGCAGGGCTGGGAGTCTATTTGCTACCAAGACGTGAGCTTTAGATTAAGGCCCAAGTCGTGCTGAGGACACAGATCAAACTTGGCCAGACAGCGCTCCGAGGAAAGGGAAGGCGCTGGGCTGGGAATGCTCCCTGATAAGAGGAGCCCCTGCCTCCAGGATATGGCTCTGGAAATTCAGCACTTACTGTCCACCCTATCTGTGTATGAACAGGCCTGTAAGAAACACGGCCAAGAAATCGAGGAGCCTTTTTATTATTTATCAAAGAGATGACTTTTTGTTGCAACTGTCCTGTCACTAGAAGGGAGATTAGTTCTAGATCAGAGTCTTTGGCTAGGGAATGGATTCTTCTCCTCCCTAGTGGGTGTATAAGGGGATAACAGATCCATTCTACGTTTCTCTGTCTTCCACTAACTTTCATGATGGCATCACACTTACCCCCTGAAGTATGGCACTTCTTTGGGAGAAGAAAAGTGTACGGTCGCTGTTTGTAAGTTAGGTCAAACAAATAGACCTAAAACATAAAGAAACAGGACAAGAAAAAAGAGAGAGACCAAAACAGATTTCAAAGTCATGGAAGTAAAAGGAGGGCAGGTGGGTACACGGCTCCCCACAATGTTCATCATTTGCTATATTCCAGTTTCTAACTGGGTAACTTTTTTATGGACATGCACATACTGGGTAACAGCAGTACCAGTGTCCCGTTACATTTCAGCACTAGGTGGAGGAAAAGCAACACTGAGAAACAGAAGCCTTGTATTTCTCCTGAGGTAACAAAATCCTCAAGAGAGCTTTGAATGGGCTTGACCAGAACCAATTTGTTCAAAAAACTTAAACTCTAACAATATATTAACTATTCTAGTAAAGAATATATCAACTACTCTATTAGCACAACAATTATATACAAAACAAATATTTATGGGCAGAAAAGGGGCAGCTTACTAAACCAATGCAAAGATTTCTCTTAGCAGAGGTCAAGATTTGTGGAGAAACTTCAAACCAACCCTGCAAAGCCCTAATTTAAAAAACATATTCCTATAAAATTTGACAGATTCACAATTCATCTAACCCGGTACCCCCTCTCAAAGAGCATGAACATACTTCGAGAGACACGTGTAGGGGACAACCACAGAGTAACTGGCCTACAAGGAAAGTTGTTGCTTAATCCATGATGATTAGTGCTGTCAGGCGGATTCTCATTTCACAGACAGGCTTTACAAAAGATCCATGGATATCACCCAGTGCTTAAATTTAAAGCAATCAATACCCCAGGTGAAGGCCTTTGCTTCTGTAAGTTCTTTATTTACCAGATTCTATTACAGAAGCAGTTTGATGTTTTAAGAATAAGTTACAATATCTTTTCTAGGTCAGGTAAGGTCAGTTCCAGATTTTCACTTATTTGCTCCTTCAGAGAGAGGAAGTGTGAATTGCAAAAATCAGACTAAAGTGTTGTTCAGGTTTAATCAGTGGCAGCACAACAGTTAAATCCCTAATAAGAGACGTTTAGTCAGAATGAATAAGAAATCTTCAAAAAAATCAATCAAATCACACAGAGAGAAGTTGCTATACCTGTTTTGAAGAATGTACAATATACGCTGGCCCAACAAACACACCTCAGTGTGAAGCCTCCTGCCAAGCCTTAGCTGTCTTCTTACCTGCTCCCCTCCCATGTTGACTAAAAGCTCGGTGCCATCAGGACTGAAGGTCACGTACGTGGCCACCAGGACTCTCAGCCGGTTGTTGTAGTCTGGAAGTTTCACTGGAAGGTGCCCTGAGGATGGAAGAGGTCCATACACATTAATGTAACTAGTAACTGTCATCTTTGTACTATCCCAGCTGCTCCACTTTACAAGAGGTTGTTAAGAGAGCAAGGTCATGAAATACCGGCACCTAAGTGATTTTCCACTTTCCTGCTGCCGTTTATTAAATCCTTTCATGGGCCACTGAAATACTCAGATGTACACAGCTGTCTTTCCACAAATTCTAGATACCATTTTTCAATGCAATCTCCATATGAACAGAAGACTGGTTTCTAGCTAGCTTACTAACACTGAACTTTGCAGAATCCAGCAAATCTCAATTTTAGGGATTCACTAAGTATCAGCTTCTATGATTTGTGGCCAACTGCAAGCACCAGCATCTTCAACCCTCTAATCAAGTTTCCTTAACAAAGCTCTTAACACAACCAAACTCAGCCTCCTAAATATTCAGCTCACACAAGGGTTCTTTTGCTTCAGTCTGGAAATGTGTCGCATGACTAATTCAGGGGACCTAAGAAATCCTCTAGTGGGACTCATCATACGCAGGATTGTCAGAACTGGTCTGCTGAACATGCTGGTCTAAGATACTTAAAAAACAAACATTTTTTTAGCGGGGGGATGAAAAAAGTAATAATAAGTACTGTAGAAAAATGGCATCTAAGTTGCCCAGGATCTGCATCTGCTTTTTCCTTTACAGGATGAAGGAAAAGATTCCTTCCGAAAAGATTCCTGTGCCAAAAAGATTTTAAACAGCAGCCTTGATGGGACCAGTCCCAGAAGAAAGTCTGTAGCCCCAAGGATTACCCAATCCTTGATTTTTTCCAATAAAGCTGACAAAAGGCATTTATGCTAGACGAGGAGGAGTAAGGCCAGCTCACCAACACATTCCACTGTCAAATCAGGCCATGTGGGTAGGTAACATAGTCGAGTAAGAATTGAGAGCATAAAAGTGAGAGAATCTACAATTCCATGAGACATTGTTGTGTTAGAAAAAAACTCTTCCAAGCAGTGGTTTCTGGTGCAATGGACAGAAAATTCAGTTTCTTTAGTCTTCAATTTAATTTTTCAAGTCCTATGTGTCACCCCCCAGCAGAGGTCCCCATACCTGCCACGTAGTACTGAGCTGCACCATCCGGGAGGGGTTTCTGCCGGTCGCAGAACGTGTGCACTCCAGCTGAAGGACTCTGCTTCATGCTTTTTCTAGCCAGAAAGAAGAGTAACTTATAAACACAGCATTCAACTGCTGGAAGCCTAATCCATCCTCATATTTCTTGTTCACACACAAGGCAAGGCCACACGCTTAGACAACTGTGCAGTCACAAACCTGCAGCACGCTACCCAACAGCACTTAGGTGCATCAAAAAGATTGCGTGGGTGAGAGAAAACTTGGGAGAACTGTCTCGTGGGACACATGAACTCCTTGCAATGTCCCTTTCCCACTAGAGCCTTTAACAGGTCTCTGCACCACTCGTGTCAGCCAAGGAGGTCCAGAAGAGCCAGCTGCCATTACCTGTGGTTGTGGATCATGCGGATGTCGTACAGCCGCACGAAGGGCTCATTTGCCCCCACGGCTAAGTAGTTGTTATCTTGGGGGTTGACTGTGAGACATTTGGCCTCCACCAGCTCCCCACAATACTCGGTCAAGTCTATTAGGACTTCTGAACGTTTGCTGTTCTCCCGCAGATCATACTGTCTGTATGGGAAGAGAGTCAGGTGAAATACGTCATGAGAAAACAGAAATAGCAGGAAGGGAGAGGTCAGCTTTCCATGGTGACCAAACTGAAAATGACCCAAGACACCCCATTCACATAGCTCAGTGGTAACCTACATTGAACTGTCTGGCTTGTGTACAAAGAGATGACACTGAGTACAAAGCCATTTGTGTCACGGGTTACTGGGAGCACCTCAATTCAGTATGCACTGAGTCTCAATATCAGCATAATTGCTAAAAACAACTCTGTAACGTGCACAGATTCACTCAAGCTCCAAATTTAAACTCTGAGTTGTGACCTAACAAACAGTATCTAGTTGGAAACCAGAACAGATTCAGATGGTAACACCTACTCATTTTAGTCTCAAAGACTTTGGAGAGAAACTACACTCATATCTGCCTTCCTCCCATTTGATTTGGCTATTCGTCTCTTGGCCTCCCTTTTCAGCAGAGGAAAATACTCTCCTCAGCCTCTCTGTTTATCAAAGGAGTTCACATTTCAAGATAAAACCTTACAGTTTCAGGAAAAAGAATGACAAGCTTAAACTCTTTACAGAATCACAGAATAACTGGGATTGGAAGGGATTTCTGGAGGCCACCTGGGCTATAGCTCCTTGCTCCGACAGGGTCAGCATAGAGCAGATTGCCCAGGACTACATCCTGTTGGGTTTTGGACATCTCCTAGGATAGAGACTTTGCAGACTGGGCAACGTACCCCAGCCTGCTTAGCAGAGACTCTCATTAGGCCTATGCATGGCATATAGTGCAATGGATCTTGATCCAGTTCATTTTGGGACAGAACTAGCGTCCTGTACCTGATGAGCCCATCTTCTGCTGCACTCCAGAAGGTGTTGGGCCACATGGGAGCCGTGGCAATGCGCTTAACCCTGTTGGTGTGGTCTCCAAACATGTGGATGGTCTCCTTGACAGTCAAGTCATGGACGTGCACCTTGGAATCCGCAGCTCCCGTGATGAGGATGCGATCCCCTGAATGTGGCAAGAACTGTGGAAGACAGACTTGGCATTTAAACTGGAAAAGTGCTGAGGCTCTACACATCTCACTGTCCTTCCTGGCAGCTCAGAGATAAAGCAGCTTGCTTTAGGAAAGCAAGCTCCACTATGTCCCCCACATATGCTATGGGACACTCCAGAGTCACAAATTACAATAATTGCCATTTCAACAAACCTCTTTTGCTCCAACCATTTTCTTTGGTTTTACCTAGGTAAATAGCTAAGCCCAGGAGCAGCATAAACTAAGAGGAATAAGTATTACATTTAATACAGTATCTCCTAACCTTTGAAATACTAAATTATTTCCTTGGGAAAATGCCTTGCACAGAAAGAGCTTCCCAGCAACATTTAAGCTGGGATCTATTCTCATGCTGCTTAAGCTGCTGATTTTCTGCTAGCCATTTATTCCTCCTAATCACATACCTTGACAGAAAAGATATTTGCAGTGTGCCCTGTGTGCATAGAAAGGAGCTTCTTGTGATGCAGAGGATCCCAGACAATCGTATGCTGATCATCAGATCCAGAGGCCAACAAGCTAGAAGACAGAGACAAGGAGAATTTTCAGTTTGTGTTCCCCTGTTCCACGCTACAATCAGTTTCTTAAGAGTGGTCTTCAATGAGAGGTTCAGATGGCACAACGGAAACGATGAGAACATGTGGTCAACAACAACAACCAGGGCTTCCATTTTCCACGTTAGCCTGGCTGCGTTAACTGCTTCCACATCCACCTGGAAGCCAAGCCAAACTATTCCTGGACCCAAGCAGTCCCAAGCCGGACCCCATTCAGTGAGTCCAGACAGATTTTTAAGTGCAGGGTGCATCTGTGGTACTGCAAGGAGTTGTTTGTCTTGTACATCTGTCTTCTGCTGCAGCAAATGAATTTGACATCTGCATCCATCAGCTGTTTCACTTACTTCTTAGAGCCAGAGCTCACTTTCAAGTACATGAAGCTTCCACTAACAAACAATTTGGAAGATTATCAGGCAGCAGACTTTGGGTCTTAGGGAAGTATGTCAAGAACTACAGGATCTTCCTTCCATCCAGTTATTTCTCATGCAGACATTGTTTACTCCACTTGATTAACAAAAAAGCTCTTATTTTCCCTCTGGAGTTGTAAAGAGGGATGAATGTTCTACGTCCCTCCCTTATGCATTTGTCCCCCAGCAAAAGCCTTTAACAGCACAGGGAGTAGGGAAACGTTCCTTCAAATCAACTGGGCAAATCCCGAAGATTCACTATAATCTGTAACACCACTTAAGAGAAAAGAAGCAGCCTTTAATCTCCACCTCTTAGTCTATTTCCCTTGTGCAGTCATTAAAGGGGCACATCTAATAATATCTAGATATACTAACAAAATAAAACCTCTTTTGAAGTGCCAACTCCTGAACTTTGGCTTGATTCCGTATTCATTTTACTAGGAATAGGAGAGGGTTGCTTAGGGTAAAATGACCTCTACTCTTTACTCTTGGAGAACCTGGCTTACCAGTTTGCGGATCCCCTGAATCAAGGCATGTACTTACTCTCCTTTTTCATTCCATTCTAGACAGTTGACACACCCAGAGTGACCCTGAGGAAAAAAAAAAAGGGGAAGAAAGTATTACACAAACTTCAGACTTATCAGACAGGGCTGTTCTGAGACAAGGACACAGTGAGCTCCCCACACATAACAACTTGTTCCAATGCAAGTAGCTTTTTATTCCAACACTGGGAAAAAGGAGAAACAAAAAAAAACAAAAAAAAAACACCCACCCACATGGCAGATAAGCACCTCCAGAAAAGAAAGACATGCTGTAGCATTTGGGGGAGAAAAGGCAAAAATGAAACAAACAAACAAAAAGAAGTAGTGTTGAATGAAATGGCAGTTCAGCCTCAGAGGCTACTGGTGAAATCCTACTGTGCGCACAGGAAGGTGACTTTGTTCAAAAGCCCTTGGCTAGACTGACAAATTACACGTACAGGTTCTCTGGGAATGCAGGGAAAATGCACTTTTGATAACTCCCTTTTCAAAGCACCTTGCTGCTGGGCGACTGCATCGTACCTCCCCAAAATAGCTAATAAATGTAACAGGAAGAGACTAGGACGGCACTGAAGAGCACTTGATTCGGGAGACTTGGTTGAAAAGGGGACAGAAGAACTCGTGTCCCCCAAACCAGGACAATCTTAAGATCTTCTCAAGCTGTATCAGATTGCAGCGCAACAACTGGTGCTTGAGACATTACGGTCTTCACTGTTTGAGCTGAATATTTTGACTGGCTGACAGTTAAGAGCAGTCTGCCTTGCTCGGACACTCCAGTTGAGATTAGTTGATAGACACCAGTGACACCAGTTAAAAGCTTTGCTGTAGGTGCATTAACCCATAAAGCCCACGCAGGATCACGCTGAAATATTGCGGTCTCTGATCCAGTTGAGAGGAGCAACTAAACAGCATACCTCTCCCCCAAACAAGAGAAAGAAGTCCATGCAATGCTGTATTTGCTCCAGCTTGCTGCAGAACAAGGAGCACTTTTTGTTCTTTAAGCATTGACCCCTTACCTGCAATTCTGCTTCCAGGCCCAGGCGGCGAATGAAGGGATCGGTGACGTGATAGTGGCGCTCAAAGCCTAGTGCACCTCTCTCCTGCACAAAGCAAACACAGGTCACACTGACTACACCACGCAAAACATTTTCTCCAGGATCTTGCCAGACATTGGGGGTATCCTTCATATCAGATCCAGGTTAAGGGGTTTGTAACCTTTGCCAAAGAGGCTCACTCCAAAACAGAAATAAGCTGCCTGGTTTTGGACAGAAACAGGAGATAAAAAGAGCTTGAGGATGCCTGCCTCTGTCCCTAAGAAGGATTTCAGAAGGAGCAAAGTCTGCCACTATACAGCATCCCAGTATTCCTAGCACATTCTCACTGTTCCCTGAGCCCACTCCCACCAAGAACACAAGCACTGGGGGACATAACTGGGTAGCATCCTTGAAGATGGTTGGCTTCAGCAGGAAGGGAGGAGAGCGCGTAGCTGCAGAGCCTCCGCACGGCCTGCTCCTCGGGGACGAGGACAGCTGCCACATAAGCACGTCAGGACAAATGAAGGTGAAGAAAAGCAGGACAGTTGTTTCCCCTGTGATCTTACAGGGTTCACAGATGCATTAGCAGATGGCTTGGATGAAAGAAGGACAACTGCAGAGGCAGAAGTGAAGGGATTGCAAGCCGTATTTTGGATGGAACAGCTAACGAGCAGAGGAGGTTCCTTCCTGGGACACCTGGTTGGGTCTCAGGCCTGTCCACTGCCACGCAGCAGTCACACAAAGCCTATTTAAGCCTTTGTTTATCACCATTTATAGATGAGAATATTAACAGCCAAGAGACTGTAGTTATGAGACTAGGACCATGTTAGTAGTTACAGAACGGACACAGGGAACGAGTGTACGCAGCTATAGCTCTACAGACCAATATTAAATAATCAACTCCAGATACTAGAGGCTATTTGAAATCAAAACAGGGACACAAGGTGGTGGGGTGTAGGGGGAAGCAACACAAAGCAAGACAGGCTTTTTTTTAGTAGCTTACATTACAAACTTAATCCCCCTTTACGTATTTTATGGACAGCATTCTCTAACATGCCACTTTCAGCAGCGCTGATTACCGGCAAAGCTGCAAACGATTTGAGGTCTGCAAGTCACAGTAATAATTGCCCATTGTGCCTGCTGCAGCTAGTCCTTTCACATTAAGGGATATTTCATTAATGCAGCCATCAGATGACTGATCTGACCACAGTAGAAGTTTTTCCCCCACACAAAGGGAAGCAAAACATACCAGTCAAAGGAAAGAAGGGGAAAAAAGAAAGGGAGAGCGAGGGACGAAAATCATTTGCTGTACTACAGCCAGACAATCTTTGATGGCAAGATCACACAGAAAGAAAGAAAATGCAAAGTAGACAGAAAACTCATGAGGAAAGCTAGTTAAGAGTCCTTTGCACCACCAAAAACACAAGTCGACAGATTTCTCTCTCCAACTTTTTCATCTAAAGGAAGAGACCTGCTGATGTCAAACCATCAAGACGCGTTCCTGCTAGGGAAAAGGACCGGGCTCTTGTCCTGCTGTAAGCTCATTCCAGCTCTGCACTAATGAGGGCAATAGGTCCTACACATCTGTTCTCTTAAGTTTTTTACACAGCTTATCAATATCTGAGCAGCAGAGAACTCTTCAGAAGTGAAAGGAAATAGTCTGACTATTTCCTGACCTGGCGTGACACCAATTCTCTACCCGCTCTCCACCCAACACGGGAGAACACTTGCTTAGCACATACCTTGATCTGCCTGTGGATGATGTCTCGAGTAATGTTTACTTTTGCCATCTTCTTCCAGTGGGGCAGAGGAAAAGAAGCTAAGGGAAGACGGCAACCGGGTTTGCCAACAGAGAAGAGATCCACAGTAAGGGCATTTAATTACCTGCAGGTCCAAAAAAAAAAAAGAGTGAACAAATCTAGCATTCAAACATTATTTGGCTATCTATATACAAGATAAGCACTTTTTTTTTTTTTTTTTTCAAAAAATGAACGAGGTTCGTACAAAGGCCTTTCAAGAAATTCAGGAATGGGAAGCGTCCATACAGGAGGGAAGGAAGGATGACTCAAGCCATCCCAGTTCACAAACAAACGTGGAAGGAACCTCAGGATTCCAGGTGTGCACAAAAAGCAATTCCAAACCCACAGAGAACTTGCACTTCCAGGACCACATCCTTCCCCACTGCCTTTCTTGCCCCTTTACACTTGCAACCACTTGAATGCGATCTCACTTTTCCAAAACGAACACACGCAACGACACGGACAGTCTTGGTGACACGGATACCTTTTTGGCCATCTCTTCAGACAAGCGCTAAAAAGGTTTGCAGCTGAGCACGAGAGATTCATTTACCACATTTGGTCATCAGCCAAACGCGATAACTAAAAGAGCACAAGCTCCTAGAGATCATAGCAGCCACCTATCAAGCAACACTATCATCTGAACGCCTGATTAAATCAGCAATAGAAAACACATCTTTTAAATCTGCATTTCCAAGAAAAATTTGCATTTTCCACATTGCTAACCCAGTTCTGCATTTCATGCATTACACGGGATCATTGAGACCCTTCAAAGTTACTCTGATAAAAAAAATCTGCCAGGTTGCCAAGTGTTTCTGCCAACTAGCTGCCCAGGAAAGCACCAGTTACCCTAAAAAATGGTGCCATTCACCCCATTTACACACCACAGACCAGGCACTATCCTACTTGGACAGCCCTAGAAATCACTTTAAAGAGAACTTGTATCTTAAATATCCATTTTTGGCCTGCATAAGCGAGTAGCTTTCGGTCCTCACTAACAAGCACCCACAAGCAGAAGAGGCCCCAATTTTCACAAGGCTCCTCTTTGGGCCAAGGGAAATGCTGATTCACGGAAACAAGAACATTTCCGAGCTCCGTTTCCCAGCCCACCCGAGAGGGGCCCAGCTGCTCAGCCCAAGCACAACGCGGCCTTCCTGCCGTAAGGGTTAGTTTGTCCCCAACATAAGCCCTGCAGGCCAAATTCACCCCAGCCCAACTCCAGCTCTGGCAGCAGAAATACCCGGTAAGCTGAAGGATTCGGCTCCTGCACAACCCGGGTCACCTACCAGCCTGAAATTGTCCTTGCCACCAGAGCCGGCATGCATTTATTTACGCATTTGCTGTCACGTATGTCTTTAATCCACATTTCTTCTACTCGCAAGGAGTTCTCAGGCATGCCCAGGAAGGCACCTCGTGTTTTAAGTGCCCTTAACCTTACTCACCCTCCTGTTAGGTAATACCTGGTCCGCTCCCAGCTTCACGGCAAGCGGCAGCACTGCGAATGCCTCTACTCATCAATATTTCACACCAATCCTTGTAGTAGGATGATTAAACTATCAGATTTTGATACCTATCCTCTGCTTTTGCGGGCCAGCTTACCACTGTTGTCGTTTGGCCTGTTTATGTAGGCAGAATAACAAATCACGTAGGCACAAGAACAAAAATAACAACAACTGCCTTTAAGAATAACCCAACAGCAAGCAGCAAAAGGCCGTCTTTTATCTCACGAGCACCCGAAGCAGAACGGGCAGGTCCTAACAAACGCCGGGCACGAGGGCAGCTCCGGCACAAACGGGAGGGCCGGGTGGTTCCTTGTGTGCTTTCCTCTCCCCCAATCACCCATTCCCCTTCCTCACCAGAAAGGCATCTCATTTTCCTTTTTAAGAGCAGTTTAGTTTCTTTCAGTCTCAAGACCCCAGATGGGCAGGCTACCAAGGTGCAGCCAAGCAGGCACCTACCCATCGATAACCGACCTGTTGCTCTCCTAAGGCCCCTGAAAGAACTTCTGTCAAATCTCCCATCTCCTGTCCTTGCCGTTTCCAAGCAGCTCCTTTCCTTTCAGTGACTACCTTGCAAGAAAACCTCTCCTTTCCTGCAATGCAAGGGCTTTACAGAGACTGTAAAGACAGACAGTTACGACAAAACTGCTCCTTACGAGAGCCCTAAAGTCACTTGCTCTCCATCTAAGTCCCATCTACAATTCCTTTCTCTTCTGCCACGAGATCTGACATATCCAGGACTTCCAAAGTGGACATTTGTTGTGGGAATGCAGAGTTTGCCACCTCTGTGAGGCCAGGCTGACTTTTAGAATTAGGAATGTGTCGTGGAGCTTCTCAACCCACTGGACAGGTCATTGCCAGCTAAAATAACTCACAGGTGTCCTAACAAAATCTTGTTCTGCAGGTCTTAACATGATATTAACTTTATTTCTTAAAGACTAAAGTCAAGTAACTCACCCACAAAATACTGCACTGTCACCAACCAAAGGGCCAAAACCAGAGATTAAAACAAAATACATTCAATCTTTAAACAATCCAACAAATACCAGCATCTAAGGCTCTATGCTAACAAGTTATTCAGCGGCTCGTAAACCCGAGAGGACGACTCATGGTTTTAGCATTTGACTGTTAAAAGAATGAGTGGCTTGGAACAAAGTGCTCAAACGGGAACGCATGAGGGTAAGCTGCGCCTTTCGCCTAGAGGGAGCTCGGTTTGGTGGCTCAGTGTTGCACACTGGTTAAAGGAGATGCTAGGAGCCTTTCTTGCTCTCGTGTTGCTGCTCTTGGTTGCTCTACGGGAATTCAGCAGTGAGCAGCTACAGCAGCAAAGAGCTTGGCGAGCAGCAAAGCCAACTCGTGAAGTGAGATGATTAAGTCTCAGCGACAAGGAACAGTTTGAGATAAATCTGCACCTTTGCTACAGGCGGTGGTCTCATAAGCAGCTTCACTCTGGCTATGTATAAGAGATGACCTTTTTTTTCAGTCATTTAGCAGATGACACTGGAACACACCTCTCCATCACACTTTAGAAGAGCCCCTGTGCCACATTCCAAGACTCCCCTTGTCCCTTGCTGTTCCAAACTTATCTGCAACACCATGCAGGACTGCAAATTCAGGGCCACCACCACCGCTTCCACCTCATTCACGGAAAGCCCATCTCAGAAAACCCACCTGAAGCGCAAAGGTGGCCATCTCACCTGTGCTTCTAGCTCTCTGAGCTCTAGCTCGCTTCCCCAGCTCTTCTGTTCCGGCAGCACACTGCTCCAGAGGCAGAAAAAGCAGCTTTCGCAATATTTGCCCTTTAAATTTGCAGTCAAAAATTAACAAATCCCAGATTTCTACAGGTTGCGGCCTCAAAATCCGCTAGGCACTATTGACACTGACAGTAACTTAGGAGCCCCTTCAGCTTCATGAAAAGTTCTCCTTCAAAGAGTGCTTCAGGGTACGGCGGGGAGTACCAGGGTCTCTTGCTTTTCCCAGCCAGCTCTCCTGATTTTCCCAGAGCCCTCGCTGCAAGCCTGGAAACAAAGCCTCGGCGCTCGTAAAGCAAACAATTCTGCCCTTTTTTTTTTTGTTAAGCAGCCCCACTAGCCAGGATGAATGTTAAGCTAGCCCCACTAGCTCGGCATGAATGAGTTTCCTCCTCGCGGGACCACCTACGCGCGCATACGCGTGGGCCCCGCGCTTACGCACGCAGTCAATCAGCGGCACGGAGAGCTGCTCTGCGGAGCGGCGCTTCCACAGCCCGGACCTCGGAGCCTCCACCCCTGGGAAAAGCTCCCTCGGCACCGGGAATCTCCACGGAGCAGCAGGAGCCATCGGTGAAGCTGGCAGCGCAACTGCCAAGCGTTCGGATGTGTTTCTTGGCCCCTGAACTCAAGGTCAGTGAGGAAGCAGCACCTCACACAGCACAAGGCTCTGCAGGCACGTGATCCAACGCGATCCCTTCCCCTAAACATCCGTGAATTCCTTCATCCGTGCAGCACCTGGGGCCCAACTCAGTCCCTCAGCACATTACTTTCCCTACTGTCCTTTTCAGTCCAACTGTCCAAGAGGTCACAGGTCAAAATAAACACATATAGTGTTAGCAAACCTAAGAGAATCAGGAGAAGGGGCCTGGTTGGGAACAGACACCTAGGAACAAGGTTTTCCTAGAGCTGAAGCAGTCGCTCCTAGGACAGCCGGGTCAGCACCTGGAGAGGAAGGAGGCGGTTCTGCTGGGATGGGGTGGCCGGAGAAGACGCAGGGTCTGCGATCCAAGAGAGTCACCCCGGAGGGACATCAATGCCAGGGAAACGGTGCCGCGTCCCACAGAGCGTATGGACAGGGATCACCGGACACCCAGGACCGCGAGGCGCCCCGGGGGCAGCAGACACTGACCGGGGGCGCGAGGGGCGGCCGCCCTCCGAGCAAAGGGGCCCTGTCCCGGCCGGCGACAGCTCCTGCCCTCCGGAGCGCGGGAGGGCCACGAGCGTGGCCGCGGGAAGGGGACAAGCCAAAGGGCACGAGCGGAGCCCGCGGCAGGGATCGGCCACGGCGCTGGGGAAAAGCGGGACGAGGGGCTGGGCAAGGGGGGGCACCGGCGGAGATAAGCGGGGGTAGGAGGGAGGGGACGCCTGACAGGGAAGGCGGTGGGCTCGCCCGAGGCGGGGAAACACCGACAGGGAAGGGGATGAGTGCCCGGGAGCACGGGACGCCGCGCGGGCGGGCAGGGGCCGCCCGGCCCGGGGCACCGTTACCTGTCAGGCCTGCCGGCTAGGGGCGCTGCAAGTTGCGAGGCTCCATGCCCGCGCGGC